GATTCAATGGTGACCTTATGGTATGTTGAGATTTCTCTCAGATGGTAAGTTTGAAACTGAAACTTGGGTCCAAGGATATTCTGGTGCAATTTTTTTCTCTTCCACACAAAATATAAAGAAACACTTCCATCCTAACTAACCATACTATCTGTAATCCATTTAGGCTATTAATGAAAATGTGCATGACTAATGCTGCCAAGAATCAAGGGTAAGCAAACAAAATCAGTGAGTACTAAGACCTTTGCACTCTAATATGTTAGTAGTCATGGGCCAGCATTTTCCCTTGTGAGGGAAAATGTGAGGAAATCTGAAAACTTATTCTTTCTTTGTGACTGAATCAACCAAATTTAATCCCAATTTGTAGTTTTAACATCTTTCTACTTACTACTCAAACATTTTAGTCTCTGGTGATATTAAATAAAAGATAATGGTTTCATCTTCTTTAATAGAATTGCCAACAAAACATATATGAAGGGAAAGATAAATTATGCTGCACTAAATACCAAATTATGCTTAATTTTAATGCAATAATTCTAGTCAGCATTAAACTTCAAACTTGATGTATTTATATTTATGTTAGCAGAATAGATTGTCATATGTAATTACTGCATTAGAATATATTTGGGTAAACATACATAATAAATTAAGTTCTTGCCTGCAGTGGAAATGGGATAAATTGAGAGGGATAAATAGTGAGTCACCTTTGGATGAAGGATAACAATTGGGATAACTGAAAAATAGGTAAAAAAATAGGTCACTGGGAATATAAGGAAATGGAAGTATTTACCTTAAGAATTTTTCCTAGGTTTCCATTTCTTCTCTACTGTGGTTAGCGTGGAAGATGGACACTAATCCAACAAGGATTGGAGTGAAGGTGAAGGTACAAGGGTGATAGGTGACTCCCAGATCTCAGTCTCGGCCCTTTCTCCCCCTATCTGTCCATACTCGCTCTTTTGATCATCTTCTCTGGGCTCATTATTTTTCAAATATCATCAATATCCCCAGCTTATTAATCTACCTTGAACTCCAAGCCCATATATTCAATTATATGCTTGACATCTTTACTCGAAGGTCTGAGAAGCAGCTTAAACTTAGTATGTTCAAAACCAAAATTCAGTCTTCCCCATCTCATTAAGTGGCAACTTCACTTTTCCAGTTATTCAAGTCAAAAACCCTGGAAACTTCTGACTACAAATCCTATTTCCTTTGTTTCAAACTATACGCTGAATTCAACCTCATTTTACAGCCTCCACTGCTACCACTCTGGTTCCACCATCTTCTTCCTTGTGGATCACGACAATGACCTCCTCATACTGGTCTCTGTTCTTACATTCTTGACCTTCTGTAGCCTCCCTTCAACATTGTAGCCAGAGCAGTTGGTTTTTCTGGTACTATAAATTGGGTCATGACTCCCTCTAATCAATCCCCACAAAGACTTCCTTTCTCAATCAGAGTAAAAGTCAAAGTCCTAAACAAGACACTACATGATCTCGTCTCTTACTTTTCTAAGTGTATTTTCTACTCTTATTTTACCCATTGCACTGCAGACATAATGGGCTTCATGCCAGTCCTTAAAAATTCCAAGCTCATTCTTGTCAAAAGGTCTTTGTAATTACTATTCCCTTTGGTGGGTAGGTTGTTTCCAAGATGTTCACATGGCTGGCTTACTTCCTAACCTCTTTTGGGTCTTACCTCAAATATCACTTTCTCAGTTAGGCTTTCTCTAACTACCCGCTTAAAATTTCACCTCTCTTTATCATTCTCTCACCCCACTGGCATTCTTAATCTCCTTTCCCTTCCTTAATTATACTCATAGTATATATTACCATGTGACATTTGTATTTATTTACTTCATTAGTTCATGACCCCCTTCCACTAGAATACAAACTCTATGTGAGCAGGGATTTTTGTCTTACTTGTATATGAATACATTCTAGTTGCTCAGATTAGTGAAGAGCATATTTAAAAAGTATAATATAGAGAATGAATTAATAATTGATATGAAAAATTACAAGTTACTTTGAGAGCTTGCAATAGGTGAATGTGACATAGTCACAAAAGTTGGGGAGAATTTTCTTTTAAAATGAAGCTTTAGCTAGGTTCTGAAGAATGAGGCACCATTATCCAGGAGAAGGGAGACAGAAAGAACATTCTAGGTATTTAAAAACAACAAAAACAAAATTTCCGAAGGTGGGAAGGAAAACTCATCTTTCAAGTGTAAGGACTAGAATAAAGTCTAAGTGGCTGGAGCACACAGGGAGAAAGGAATCACATTTTTTGCTACTTCTTCACCGTTTTTATTTATCTGTGCACTTATTTCAGCCATTTAATTGAGTGCTGTCATGACGATGTGTCACAAACCATGTTTTATTCATCTTGACATCCCGAGTAGCTGATACATTGAAGATACACAATACTAGTTGAATAAATGAGAAATTAAATCAATTTCTGGTTTGCCAACACAAAAAATAGTCACAATGTTTCTCTCACTGCTGCTCTGTAGACATCATGCTACTGGGGGTTGGGAGTGGATAAAGGCCTTTACTGCGACAGTCAAGGTGTGGAAGCTGTGAATTGTCATGTTAGTGGAAGGACATGCAGTTGACATTCAAATATACATGCACATAAATAGGTCAGTAGTATACAAATCTACCTAAAATGTTCAAAGTATAATGATAATTAATGCATTTGGGAAGCAAATTGTACACATAATTTTCAACACAGTCACATAAATGACTGAAAATAGGACACAGTGAACTGAAGAGTTAACCCATTAATAAGCTCCTAAAAAAGCCCAAACGATTGCATGCAGCTTTTCTAAATTTTCTGATTCCCAGAGAGTGTTAAGTATTATAAGATGCTCAGTCATCAAATTCCACTGCAACTGTACAATGGTGACAGAATCTTTTCTACAAACGATATTTAATAACTTACAGAGCTCTTTCCCTATTGTGGGGGGGATTTCAACTGCTGACTTTAAAAAGCATACACATGTACACATACATGAATTGATGTATTTCCACCCCCACACACATTAATAAATCTATAAATATTTATAAATAGAAGTTATAAATAAAAGTGTAAAGCAATTTATAGAGAGATGAGAAAATTTCTTGAGTAATACAAGAAATAAGACTTTTCAGCTACATGTTTTATAATGGATCAAAGCTTAAATGGTGCATTTTAAATGTTTTTTTCAACATCCCTTCCAACTCACAGTTTTCCTGAAGCCATCCATATAATTTTAAATAGATCACTTTTCAGAAAATATCGTTAAGTCAAACCAAGCAACCAGTCTTGTAGCATGTAACTATTAAAAAAGTTATGTAATTCAGTCTTATATTGAAAATGCTTCGCATGTAGTTTATACATAATAAAAGTAGCTTTTAAAAGTACTATTCTGGAAAATAGATCTGTACACTGCTTCCAGTTTGTGAAATTATTCCACCTGTTAACCAGAATGACTTTTGTCATAATTAACATGCTGTGAATAAAGCACAGACTTAGATTAAAAAATAATTTGGTTGACATTTCATTTTATATAAAAACATTGAAGAAAAGAAATATTGATTTAAAAATTGGCCAAAAATTCTGAGTTGCAAAGGACACAGAGGTAGATCTTAAGCTCAGATATTAGAATAAAAGATTAGAAATAAAATTTCCAAGTAAGGAAAACTTTCACATATAACTATGCTTATTTAGTGTACACAATTAAAATCTTAAATTTGCATGCATTGTGTTTACCTCAAATCATGTTTTCTCTCCATTAAGAAAGACAAAGAGTGAAACGGAAATGGAGAGTAGCTTCGGCATGAAACAGGTAAACAAAAACAACTTTTACCAATAAAAACATTTGAAAAAAGATATGATTTTACAGAAACAATATGAAATTATTAGCTGGCTCCATGTCTAAATAAGTTATAGAACCCGTGCCCCTCCTTTTTTGGTTAACTTAAACTGTTCTGAAAAAATGTACTCTTATCATTACATATGAGCCTCCAAATATTTGTATCCTGGAAAATTCCTAGTAAGAAAGTATTCTGTAGGAAAAATCAGTTATATATTTTTGCCACATTGTAGTTTTACACCAAAATATAATAAAAAAGCATAGCAACTCACCTGAAAAATCGCTGCGTATCCAGGGACTTTCACAATTCAAGTTACTATATTCTTCTTCATCGCCCTGTGTAATCCAGCTCTGTTGCCACGGCCAGGATATTTTATATTTGTGATATTATACTAACAGATCACATCTTGAAATTCATAAAATGACAAAAATCTTCTAATGTGATATTATTTTCTGTGGACATGAACTCTCTCAACTGTTTGCAGTTCCATGTTTGTAACAATATTAAAGGTTTCCAAGACATAAATCTGAGTCCTACATTTCTTGTAAAGAGACAACAAAATGATTAAATCTTTGTTTGAGAAGCAGTGAAATAAGGGTTAAGCACATCCACCACCAAATAATAAACAGCATGGGTGGACCAAAATATTCCATAATTTTTAAAAATGTAGCACAATAAAAGTTTAATCTCAGAGAATTGCTGGGAGTGGCTGAAGACAGAATTCCATTGTTGCACATTGCTGCTTCCAAGTGCTATTACCAGGACTTTCGTTCACAAGAAATTCATGGGTTGCTTTCTCCTGGCACACTTATGATGGAGAGGAAGGAGAAGAGTTTGGATAGATTTGTTTCTTCCTCTATGTGACCTTTTAAAGCTTTCAACAAAACCATAACCTTTGGAAATGTGAAAAAATTCATGTTCTTTTTTTTCCTTCTTTAAATATATGAGAAAGACAAAATATATGAGGAGAAACAAAATGAACAAATTGGCATATTTTATGAAAGATTTACATACAGTATTCATTTTGCTAACATTAGGGCAAGTGTAGAATTATAAACTTTTTTTATCATAAACAAAATTAGATTTTCAGGATTGTATGCTCATTACTTAAAATACCACAAATAAAAATTTGTTCATGGAAAAATAGAGATATTTTGAGTACTAAAGTCCTTTATTCAACAACACATAAATTTCACAAAAACAACTTTACTGGGCAAATCAAATGTGTTTTTTAAAGTTTTTTTTTTTACAGTTTTGTACATGCCCCATAAGTAATTTTCTTTAATAAATACACTGTTTTCCAAAACTGCTTTTTTATAATTGCACAAGCATACATACACCTTACACAAATATCTATTAGAAAATTTAATAGATAACTGCACAGTTCAGAATAGGAGAACACTGTGAAAGGAGTACATTTTGTGGCCCATGTTCCTGAAACATCTCTGACTTCCTTGCAGTTGTGAAAATGGAATCCCTCCTTACATAGTAGCTGTCTTCTATTCACTAGGAATACAGATCTCAGTGTGAAACTGCCAAATGTAATAAAAACAAAATCGGAAACATTTAGCTGTTACATGAGAACCAACTGTTTGATATCACCATGATCAAAGACCCACTACAGCTTTGTGCTGAACATATCTGACCCTGAATGGTGTGTTCATTTAACCACTTTCCTTTTTTCATTATTTGATTACAGATACTATCAGCTTAAAGACTTTATATGCATTAGGATTAATTGTACAATTTACATGCCAGGGGTTCTGAATAAAGAATGGGAATATTACTTTCTTTTAGTGAGTGCTTAATATTAATTCACAGGAAACCCACCAGCTCTTGCTCCCTATCAATGTGTTTAGAAGAAGAAAGTTGGGTATTTGGAATTAAGCAGCCAGGGGACGTTTTTATATACTCTTCCAGTGGAGGAAGACTCACTGTTTTTTTCTCCCAAGCATAGATAAGTATCTACCTTGTATATAGGCCTCCACTTGCATGCAGACAGGTAGCATCTATCAGAAAGCCAGTTCAGTCTAAAGGCCTGAAAAGAGACTTGCATTATGCTGTTCTCGTGATGTGAGGGTGCTGAGTGACAGCTGACAAGGAAATTGGTGCACAGTACACCAACGCCCCAGGGTCTTTCCATGCCCTCCCCAAATGCCGACAGGATACAGCATCTCCTGGTCTACACTCAGGCAAATCAGGACTCCTGTGTATGTAGACCTCTTTCACAAAGCTTTTTATTTGGCTTATTTGATAAGTCATTTTTAAGTTGTATCGATAGTCCACCAGATCTGTAATTTAATTGTATAATCTGAATTTCTTGGTTCTGACTAAAAAAACATGCAGTGAGAAATTTTAAAAGTTACATTTCATTGGTATTTTAAAATCATGAAAATGTAAACCTTTAAATCACTTCCTTAGGGTTATAATGATATGCTTTACAAGTTCTCGGTACATAGACTCAGAAAAAAGGGAAGGGGAGTGAGACCAGAAGAGTGACATCATCAACGAAAACTTTTATATGCACCCTATATTATATAAATAGAGTTTTAGCAAAAACATAAAAAATGGGTGGTGTAAAAAAAGTCAAGAAGAACATATATGAAAACTAAAGAAAAGCTACACGTTTCCATTTTAATAATCAACAGATTTTCTTTCATTAAAAATTGAATTGACATGTAAAACACCACATTTTACAATATACAGATTCATTAGTTCTTTAAGTAAACCAACAAACAAAAACACATCAAGACATGCAACACTAGCATGTGTTTTTGACTCTCTCGTACACTGCGATGAGATCTTTACTCGTCACTGTGCGCCTATCGCAGCCGCAGAGAACGGAGGCCGTTTCACTTCCGGGACAATGATCATCGTTTTCCAAAGAGCAAGGCAAGATGACCATTCAAATGTGAAAGTAAGTTTTCATTTTCTTGTAATTAATTAGGAAATCAGTTAAAAATAGGTAAAATAAAAAAGGAAACTAGAAAGAATTCACATAGCTCACGTTTCCACAGCTGAAATGGAAATTCTAACTAGAAAACCTCAAACGAATATACAGCAAGTAGAAAGCTATCTCAAAACCAATACACAGCATGTCTTAGTTTGCGGTTATTTAGTTCTCTTCTCTAAACATGGATAGGTGTAACAGACAGGTGTTCAGGAATTGTCCTAAAAAGGTGACTGGACCGTAACTGTAGACCTTGCACTCATGTTCTAGGCAAGTCAAAGTGCACTTGTTTTCCACATTGGCACTTGTTAGCACCTTATCCACACCTCCCCCCGGAATCCTTATGAAGAAGGCTCCTTCCACATGTTAAAAAATCTGTCATATTACTACCCATTCAAAACTACAACTAGCCTTTTCAAGTTACTTATCTGCTAGTCTTTCTAAAGTTTTGCAGTCCTTCCCATCACCCTTTTTCTTCTCAAGTTCTTTTCCTTCGTATGATCCATTTTGCTAAAATTTTTTAAAAGGCTAATGGATGCCATAGGCTAAAATAACTGGCTAGTGGATGAAGAACAAAAAAATGACAGTTGACATGGCAACTTTGATACTCTATGTGTTTTTGCTAAACTCTGTTTCATTGCTAAGGCTGAAACGTCTCTATCATTTGACCAAATGAAAAGAAATAAACTTCTGAGGCATCATGCCATCACAAATACTATTTGTCCTACTGGGACAGCCATAGGAGCCCAGACTCCCATAAGAAAACCCAATCCTACATGAAAAGGTAGCCCAGGCCCTACAAAGCATTACCCGTTTGTGTTTGGATGCTGTTTGCATTTACGGAATTCCACAGACTAGGGTCCAGACTTCTCAGGCATGCCAGCATCACTCAGTGACAAGAATGGGAAAGGGAGCAACAGGAACATTCCCCTGAAGGCCTAGGGGAAGGCCACTGGTCCAAGTGGGAGGCTATGAGAAAAGGAAATAACGAAAGACTTGAAAAGCCTCACTTTTCAGAATGTATGTAATTTTTTTACTTAAAAATATACCTAGCCATGCCTCAATGCAGAAGCCTTGCCGTGTTCAAATTTTAAAACAAAACTACCCATTTAATATCATACATGGAATTAAAACACTTGGATACATTTTATTGTTTTCTTTTCCTACAAAAAAAGAAGCAAAAATAAACAAACAAAAAATACATACAGCCCTTGCTAGGCTGGTTAAAAAAAAACTCAGTCATGGATTTCTCCCCCTAAGAAATATTTTTTATTCTGTATCCTAGAAAACAGTTTTAAAAATTATACAACTGATTCTGCATGTTCCACCTACTCAGAGTACTCCGCCTTACAGTGCAACCCAAGACAAGTCAACTACACTAAGTATTTGGGAGGTATACCCTTCTGTACAACTCGTTTGTAAGCAATGCAAGTGCATAACCACTACTCTAATATAGTGCTCAAAAGATTAATTGAAACTCTCATCACATCTTCCCCTCCTATAACAATACAACTGCAGGTAATTGCTGGATGCATCATAATCTTTTCTTTTTGTAAAACTTGGTGTCAAGTCTCTACGGAAAGATGCGTGGCAAAATGTGCCACTGCTGTTGCTGCTTCTAGAAACAACTGGCAAAAAATATTTAAAGCTAAAATTTATTGCTCCAGATTTAACTCGCAGAACCATACTGTTGTGTACAAACTGTTACTCTCCATAGATGCTCAGACGTGATTGTCTCCTTGTGTCTAAACACACAAAATACAAGCTGCTATCTGTACAGTTTACAGTACCGAAACACATATATTTGAAAATGAAGTATAGATATGTACTTTGCAAAGATACAGGATTTTACAGCAGGGGTTTACCCAAACTTATTTTTTACAGCCACTTTCAAAATAGACAACAACTTCACTAGTATAGCTAAATTACATCAAAGAATCAGTGTATTGAAAGTAAATAGACTGGCCAATTCCCCAAGCTCCCAGATTACTTTTATATGTCTTTTTTCTTTTCTTTTCTTTTCCTTTTTTTTGTGAAGAAACCCCTATACATAAAATGAAAATAGTATCTGGATATTTTCTTCAGTGGTGGACTAAGCAGTTTCTTAAAACAAGACATTAGTTTGCCCTTCACTTCCAAATGCCTTGAAAATAAGATATACTACTGCTTTAAAAGAACCATCGGAATGCTTCAGCGCTGGGAACAGGTGTTCTCTATAAAAAAAGAGCAAGAAAACAAGTTAAGCTTTCTTTCTATGCCAATATAAAATTAGAATTTCCTCCTTTATACTTCAGCAATATTTTTAGTCAGCAAGATTCAACATAATGACTTATATATTTCAACATTTAATACAAAATAAATGTTCAAACTTAGCACATTACAAAAATCAGAATATTGACTTTAATGCTAATTTACTAAATATAATTAAAACACATTGGTCTAAGAAAGAGGAAACAGTCTGAACATGGATAGCAACCAGAATAAATGGTATGGTTCATGCTGATAATCCACAGCAGGAAGCCCAGCCAGTGAGTGGTGCTTAAAATCTGTGTCTGCTACATACACATGCATCCTCTGTAAGGCTGATGTTTAGAATTCAGTGAAGTGATTTTTTTCATTCTGGAGAATTTCGTTTATGACAGGACTACAATAAATATTATATAAATATTACTTCTATTACTTAACTACTAATGCTAAACATTCTTACATATAATCTAATCAGAACAATACCGACAAAACACATCACTATTTTAAAGTATGTCTGCATTTTTAATAAATTAAAGTCATATATAAAACAAACTTATCTAACCAACAACACTCAATGAAGCATAGCTATCCTCTTATATCATAAAAATACTATTATATTCCAAAGAAATAATAAGCTAGCACTAAAAGTTTGAGCAATTCTTTAAATAAAAAGCTTATAGTTACTATGGGTTTTTTTCTGGTTCCATAGTAGATAAGCTATTGAATTTTCCCCTATATATTAACATTACATCAATTCATCATGCTAAACTCTCTTTTATAAAACAATCACATGAGTACATATTCAAGGTACATAAGAAACAAGCTAAGAGTAAATTTTATTATACGGGTAAATGAAAGGGAGCTAATTCCATTCCTTGTCAGACTAGTCCAACAAGCCTGTGCAGACTGTAAGATGGCTGCTGAGGATAAACAAGTATATTAATAAGAATGTTGACTGTTACCAAAACATTGAGTAGGTAGAGAAGAATACGTGCACACACACCCGTTGTGAAGTGTTAACAGCACTTGAATTTCCTATTTCAGAAAATATATTAAAAATTCTACTACAAATACTTTTTGATAATTGGGGTTAGCTTTTATTTATTTCTCACACATGACTTATTTTATTGATATAGTCCTATTGTAGCAATATCATCTAAAAACAAAAGTGTATTAAGTGAGGTAAATAGAAATTTAAATATATAAAATAACCATTTGGACAGTAAAAATGTGTTCACTATCGGTACTTAAAACATAGTCAACACAATAAATTTCAAAACGAATGTGTTAAGAACAAACTAATGGTATCTAATCCCAATTTGCATATAGGTATATATTTTCTAAAAATATTCAACTTGTGAAGTATTTTCTAAATGTATAAACAAAAACGTCCTTTGCTCCTATAAAAATGGTACACATCTTACTAATATTTTATTTTTCACTCTGCATGGTTTCATCTGTTTTATTTTCTCCAGCTCACTATGCATCCCTGGATCTCCACTGTTTGCTTGACTATTGAGAAAAAACCCTTTACTGCTTTCTCAAATTAACTTTTAGTGATATCTGTAATAATTATATATGCTCTTACATTTATTTAATCATTATTAAAGGAAAAATATGAAGTAATAAGAAACACAGTATAGTCATTCTAATATCCATGCTTTACACACACACACAAGTAGTAACTGAAAACTTAGAAGTTTACAGCAGATGCTAACTTCCTGCCTGATGCCAGCTAAGAATGTATTTTATTTGAGTATGCATACTTACATAAATGTAGTCATTTTTAACAAGATCAGTTAGATCCAAGCATATCCATGCAATTAAAGATTCACATATGAAAAATAAACATGTTCATATATATTCATACAGATTCACATTTACATGTACAGTAGGTCACACAGAGATGCCAGCTTACTCTCAGATGCCAACTGGAAACAAGAATGTAAGTATGTATTTACATAATTTTGTATCTTGATAAACATATATGTTTATGAAGATAAACAAAAATACATGGAGTGCATTTTTAAAAAATTAGATGAACTCATGTCTTAGATACATTTTTAAATTTCTTTACCAGCTCTTTGCATGTGACCCTTTCCAATTCTCAATGTTATTTGTAATATTTAGGAAAAAAACAAGCTTTATAAAATGACCCTGAGATCAAAGGTAATTGTGAGAAAAAAAGATAAGCACTTCTCAATGCTTGTTAGCACAAAAACTAGATAATGCAATGAGAAAAACAGAGAGCTGGTTTTCTATACGAACATGAGCTCTCACAAAATAGCTCTGTGATGTGTACATATTATTGTGCATACATTGAGACCTGTATGTATCTCCACATACAAGTATATGGACAATCTACTGCTCCAGGGGAAGGGAGAAGTAGGGAAGCATCTCTTAAAAATGATTTCTCTCTTAAAGTAGTATTTTTGAGGTCGTAAAGCATAAAAATGACTAGTTGAGTAATCACCTAAAATATGAGAAGACAAACAAACAAAAAACACTGGCACATCGATTAGAACAAATTTTCAAGGCATTCAACCAGAAACTGGAAGTGAGAGTTCTCTAACAGTTTTATTTCAGGGTTAAAAAGTAACAGAGCTCCTTGGTGTCCCATATGCCACAAAAATGCAGGATGCATATCCAATCTCGTGCCCACATTCCACTGGGCTCACTGGAAATTTACGTTAGGCCTGGGCTAAGTTCTTTTCAAGATGAGTGAAGCAACATTGAAACATATTTGGTTAAATTCACAGGCAACATATTGGGTTAAATTACAGGTTTCTGCTTGTATTAATTTGGGGATATATCTTCTCTAATTTTGTCAGTTAATGAGGCCATCTTTGTCAGAGGACATCCATTTCAAATGGTGCAGGAGCTCCCAGACCAACTTAGGGGATTATGCACCCTGACCAGCTACCTTTAGGTTATATAAATTCAAGAGTCCTGGCTGGGGAATCACACTCTTGATGAGATTACAGTGACTTTCTGGATTTCAGTGATGCTTGCAGGAAATCGTTATCCTGAGTGACAGGAAAGCCAGATTCCCCAGGAAGAGAAGGAGGCGAAGGAGGCTGGGAGGTAAAGAATAGAATTGAGTTGATCAGCATTGTTTAAGGCAGCCTTCACTGCTCACGCAGGTGCGAACACTGAGGAACAGCAGTCTTGCTCCCAGGAGGCCTGGGAAGAAACCTGCAGCCCCCGTTTCTCCTTCCTGCTCTGCTGCAAAGCATGGTGTTCCAGAGAATTCATCCCTATATGAGCCAGATATGAAACGACCTTCAAGCTTAAAGGAATGCCTTCTGTTTCCCTCCTAAATAACTTTAAAAAGCCAGCGCATTTCTTTGACTAGAAGAATGGTATGATCCACGCCCAAGTACATTGTACATTTACATTTTAAAAATACGAATACATATCCATGTCTCTGGAAGAAATGTATTTCAGTGTGATTTTCATCAAATCTGCAACGAAATATAATTAAACAACAAAATAAATAAGATTCCCAAAAGCCGACACTTTAAGGATTAAGCCTAGGCTTCTCTTTTTTGGTGTCTGCTAAGCAGTCACGGGGACTATGGTATCTTCAGGCTGCTCAGGTCTCTACATCTCATTAAAAATAAACCATCTAATAAAAACTCACCTTCTAAAAAGTGAATTTGGTGTATCTATAACTGTACACATGGAGATATGTGGGACCGGCTATTTGTATCTACAAGCATGTAAAATGTAGCATATTCAAGACACAATAAAATGAATCATTTTTAACAGAGTTAGACATGAGTTTTCAAAGAGTGACTCAACGCTAAAATATATTTCAGAGTACAGAAGTTACAAATCGAGATAGTGATGATATTACCACATTCTGTATCTTAAGTTAAATATATCTTTCCAATATTTACTCATATACTTTCTAATAAAAAATCTCAGTGATTTGTCTAGGCTTCAGAATTCTACTGTGAAACAAGATGGATCTAATGTGGTGATTTTCAAGCTGAAATAATTTTTTTTGGGGTGCTGTTATTCTTACACTAAGCAAAAACTAATTTCCTCCAATACCATTTATTACTAAAGAAACATAAGTCATCTAATCATTTTCTGATTCCCACATATAATGATAATTTTTCTACCCAAAAGCAAGGCAATTTGAAACTAGTTAGCCAACACACCCTGTTGTAAACTATTCTGAATATTGCTCTCTCTGTGAGGAGCCCACAGTTAAGTTTTTAAACTCCTGGTTGTCCGAGGCCTTGACATTGGCAACACCCATTGTATTTGATTTGCCTCCTCACACTAAAACTTGGAAACCTTAATGGACCACTGAATTTTGCAATAAAAAGTAACTGAAAATGATAAAAGATAATAGTAAATACCATTGTTTGCTTATAGATATTTGATTATATGTTTCAATCTTGGGGGTGCTTTAGATGAACAAAAGGAAGAGAACCCCTGAGAGTGGAATAAACTACTTTTTTATTATTTAATTCACAAAGAATGCTAAAACATGAAGTTATATAGGTTAACTATTTTACTGAAAAAATTGAAAAACCTACTTGGAAATAGAAACTGTGTTATATATAATGTTATGAATGTCAGTACACATACATGTGCACATTAACACAGATTGTTGAATAATTAATTGGTTTAAAATGATACCTAGCCAATGTTAGAGACTCTCCAAAATGGTTTTAGCAGAAATATTTTCCATATCCTCTTTATAAATAGCATATTTTTAAAAATCATAGTCCAGCAACTATAACAGAATTATCAGCTAGCATAGGTATAGCATCAGCTGGTAAGTTTAAGAGATAATTAATCTACTATAGATGATAATCTCATACTCCAGTAATTTACTATTATAAACCAGAAGTTTGTATTTTAGTGATACCTTAATGTAAAAATATGTAGATTGATGTATGTATACAGTTTCCTCTTTTTAAATTATACCTAACTTACTTTCTCTTCT